AATGATAGTCAAAACACAAATTGTTCCTAAAATAACAACTACTTCGTTGCACATTAAGCTAATTTACAAATGCTACTTACATTCCAAAAACAAAACATCAAATGAGAAACAATAAAGCATATTATGTTTTCGTATGCTGGTGAATCACACATGGTAAATCACCAAAGAGTAGAGTGATTTATGCTCAAATCCAGCCAAGACTTTAATCAATATTGGGTGTCACATCTCAGGAGGTTGGGGGAGGTACTGAGGCAAAAGGAGAGTGGCTAATATTGGTCTCAGTAATTTATATGCAACTTCCGTGAAATGTAGATTAAACAAAAAATAACAGCAGATTTGGACTAATAAGATGAAGGTTTACAAATTCTGTATTAAATGTGATACAAAGAATTTATGTTAAGGATGGGAACTCTGAAACAAAACAGCCTATTTATTTTACATAATATTTGCAGCTTCACAAAATAAAATATCCTATGAGCAATCAAAATAAGTACCTCAGAACATTAACTAGTCATCTGTGGAGTTCAGAGAGTAAACCATCTTCATAGCTATGTGCACTCTTTACAATAATTACTACATGTATTATCTGAGACTAATTCCAAGAAAAACAACAGGTTTGAAAAATACCCAAATAACTCAAGAATCTGTATTAAGGCAGTATAATCTAATTGACCAAGGTAAATCTTAGGTCAGAATATTCTTAGATTTTGTTTATGTATTAGTTATTAAACTGTAATTCACTAACGTTTTAAAAGTATACAGAAATAAGTGGTGGAACCAAACTTAAACTTTCATATGTTAGGTCTTACTCTTCTAATTATGTCATATTTTTTTAGGAAATGTTATAAAATGAAACATTAGACTCTATAGGAGCCACTAATCGGCTGTAATAAAAAAAACTTCAAAAGCATAGTCTCTCTTCATTTGAAGTAATTTTTAATTTATCTGTGCCAAGTATGGTAATTATCTGTTAGAAGTGAATCTGTATTTGTGTTGAAACTTTCTATTACCAATGCAGAAGAAGTGCACAAGTCCGTGCCATTGAAAAACATGCAATGGGGGAAATGTTCAATATAGACTGGTTCAGTTTGCCATCTTTATTAAAACTCCTGACAAAAAACAGAGCCAAGAATTGGAAAATATTTTATACTTTCTAAGCTAAAATTGCATCCATATATTACTACTGGACAAAAAAGACTTGAAAAGTCTTTCAATTTGCTGTCTATGGATGGTATTGACTTTTAAGACAAAAGAATACTGTTTGTGAATATATCTATATGCATATAAAATGTCTGATAAAATTAACTGGAATCTATTTAAGTCAAAAACTCCACAAATCTAGGGCTACATAAGACCTGAACCATAATCTGGTTTGAAAGATCCTGAGACAAAATCACCCTCTGGCAATATTCAGAAAATAAACATTTTAGATAACAAAATACAGCAGAGTCACTTTTTATTACCTGAACTCTCCAGAAAATTTGAGTCCTAACCCAAATCTACAAACAAGCTACTGACTCATACAAATACAGACTTGACCATGTACATCAATACTTCTCTTTTGTTGCTGTTGTTTACTGGTTACCAGTTAATTAAGTGACCTCTGTTGCACTAGCCAAGTTCATCCAACTAATGTTTAGTTTAAAAATAATAACTGGAGGAAACTGATCAAGGTCAGACTCTGTCCTTTAACAACTTTTAAATGTATTTCCTGACATTTTCTCTCATTTTTCAGACTCTTTTACTTTTAGCTTTACTATCAAGCAGGTGATAGTCTCTTGTTTCATCTCCTTGTGGTAGTGACAGATGGCTTCAACATTTATTCTAGTTTTTATAGATAGCATACTGATGCAATAGCCCCAAGCAAATTAAATCCACTCTAAGGTTTGTCACCAACTTACTGAGCCACTTTGAGCAAGTTTATGAACCTTTTTTTCCTTTAACATCATTTTGGTTTCTCAGATTCTCTGGTATCTAAATGCTATTGAGAGACAGAATTAGATGTAAGTTCTGTAAAAAGATGAGAGTGCTAAAATTTGATGTTTCTTGCACACTATGTATATAGTATTTTATATAGTTTGCCTTTCTGCTCTGTGGTCTTATCTTCTGCATAAATTATTCCTTTGGATAGTCTCTTCAATAGCCAGAGGAGAAAGAAACCAGAATGAAAGAAATCAATATACCTAGGTGAATGAAAAAGGATCTTAACAGCAAAGGCGTAAACTGGACTTGAATGGAAAAAGTAATGTTAGTTTTGTAAATTCAAGATGCAAAATATTGTAGGTATTGCTTTCAAAGTTAAGAAATAAGACAGTAACACTTGTAATTATCATTAAAGGTAATAATATATTACAATGTAAACAGTATGTTTTGGTGAGAGAGAGTTCAATGGTAAGTTTTCTGTTTTTTTTAGTTAGTGGCAGGGTTAGGAAACCTAGGTAGAGATCTCCAATTACACATCTTCGAAGGTTAATGACTGCAGTATTTGCATGTATATAGGTTTGAGTAAGCCTTGTAGTTGATAAAAGATCAAAAAGCAAGAGTAAATCAACAAACTTACCACATTTAACTTAAAAATAACCTGAAATTGAGTTTTAGAATAACACACTTACTTGTAAAGTATTAAGACCAGGTGATTGAAATATAATTAGAGTATTGATGAAATATTTTTGAAGGGATAAAACAGTTCTATTGGATTTAACTTATCCTTCTGTGAAAGTTTAAACTCCAGAGCTATTGTTAGCCTCAGGGGAAAAAAACCAATTAAAACATTTTTGCTAATAACTTTAAGAATATTCTCCAACCATACAGTGAGGACTTCAGTTCCAAACTCTAAGCAAAAATTTCAGGAAGAAAAAATCAAGGGAATAATTGTAAGAGATTAACACTACCTGCTTTACGTTGATTATAACGTTGCTGTCATTGAAGGAAGTTTTCTCTAGCAATTTTTTTTGTGTTATGTGAAATGGTCATTAATTATCTAGCACAGTATGTACTGTAAGAAACACACAAAGAGATTTCAAGAGCAGAGTGGTTTGATTACTAAAGAGAAAAACAGTAGCTCTTCACCAATTTACTGGATAGGTAGACAATTTTATAACAATCATATCTGAACTAGCTTCAAATTTCGGCTAGCATTCTTTATAACAACTCTGTAACAATTTTCTGCCCTGATTCGAGTAGTTTTAACAAAAGATTGTTGGCAAATATTTTATCGTCTGGACGTCCAAGCACTGCAATTATCTCGGTAAATGATATTTAGTGATCAAGATTACCCCTCAATCTTTACTGCCACCTGTCCATACTCTTGGGCACGTGCGCGCGCCTACACACATGCACGAGCTCTCAGCATTCACCCCTCCCCCAAAAAATAGAAATGGAGGTTCAAAACCCAGACCCACACCCATGCCCCCATGCAAAGAATGGCAAACAAACAAGGAAAAGTTTCTAGCTAGGTCAGAATAAGACATTTGCAGGGTTGGAGTTGGAGCCTTTTTCGTCCTACAGCCTTCCCCCGGCACTAGCCAGAAGTCTTCCAAGGAAGAAATAGCCAGGGGCTTTTTCACCCCTGCTTCCTTCTGGTCTCGTCCTACCCCTCTTTCCTTCCCACCTCAGTTTCCCTAGCACTACCAGGGGACACACACCCTAAGACAGTACAACTCCGTTCCTTCTCTCAGTCTTAAAACTTGTTTGGAGGGTACCGAAGTCTCTGCGCAAATTTTGCGCGCTTCCCACGCGCCCGCTTCTGGTATCCAACTTTCCCTACTCTCTTTCTTCTGGCATCTCAACTTTTCCCTCTGCTTTGAACGGGGTACAAAGCGGAACTGTGAAAGCGGGTGGAATGATTTTTCTACCCCGAAACTGACAAGTTACCCCACTCCCGCCCCCTCTCGGTAGATCCTCCCCCAGTGATCGTTCATTAGCATAAAACCGGTCCAGCCAGGCACCGGATCCCCCGGCCTCCAGGGTTCGCGCGCTTTGCCGGGCTGTGGGAGCCAGGGCACAGGGCATTCAGGTCTGCAGAATATCCCAATGCAAAGCTTGCACCTGCTTATCGCGTGAGCTACTAACCTTAAAAAAAAAAAAAAAAGGCAGAAGAAAAGAAAAACAGTTTGGAGAGCGAGAAAGAGAGTGTGCGCTATAGTCTTCCTTCCCCATCTCTCCAGCTCAGCTTCCAAGAGTCTCAGGCACCCGGTCACTTCCCCCTACAGAAGGAAACCTGCTGGTTCCCTCGCATCTGCCCCGGGGCTAACGTACCCCTTTATCTCCTTTGCACAAGCTCCTAGGCGGACACACGCACACGTGCGCGCACACAGACCCCTCCCCTCAGCGGGCTTCCCCTCAGGGCTTTGGGGCTGAGCTCGCTGCGGGCCCCTCGAGATTGTCCCGGGCCTCTCGGCCTCGGAGGTCTTTCCCCTCCCGGCCCCGAAGGGGCCCACTCCCGCGGCTTCCTTGCCGGCCGCTCACCCGGGGCGCGCACTCCCGCTCCCGAGCCCTGCGGTCAGGGTCACGACCTCTCCCCGCCCCCGGGACGCCGCTCGGCGCCGCCGACCGGCCCCTCCGGTGCCCCTCGGCTCGCGGTGGAACCCGGGCCCGAGGGAGCCAGCACACCCTCGGGCGGCCGCGCTGAGAGGGGTCTGCAGGCGCTGGCGCGGCCCAGGAAGGGGGCCGTGGCTCCTGGAAACGCACCGTCCTCCTCCTTCCCGCCCCCTCCGGCCCGAGGCTTGGGGTTCCCGCGTCCCACAGCAGCCAGGCCCCTGCGCCCAGGCGAGCAAGTGCGCACCGGGCGGAAGAGCGAGATCCGGGCAGGGTGAGGTGCCAACTTCTCAGAGGGCCGGGAGCGGCTGGCGAGCCTCAAGGAACGGGAGGAGAGGGCCGTGCTCTCCAGGGCGCGCGGCTCGCGGGCGCGCGGAGCAAGCGGCGCCAGGAAGGGAGCGAGGGAAGGGTGAGGAGGCGGGAGGGAAGGGACCGCGGGCGGCGGCGCTGCCCCCGCTCTTTACCTGGCGTTGGTGCAGTCATTGTAGAGGGTCTCGAAGTCCTTCCTGGAGATGAGTTTGCAGCGGTTCACTCCGGGCTGGATGGCGCCCAGTCCCCTTAGGATGCGAACCTGTTCCACGTTGCACACCACCGGCGTGATCTCCAGCCGCTTCAGCTTGGTGTAGACCGTGTGCAAGCCTCCCACCAAGTGCTTCAGGAACAGATCGAAAGCCTGGGGCAGGCAGATCAGCTCGCAGCCCTCCACCGTGAAGGAAGCCACTTTGGCCCCTCTCAGATCCACCATTTTGCACTCATTATTCTGAGGGGTGTTTTCCACTGGGGACGGGGTCGAGTACACGGGTTTGCCGGGGAGGGGGCCGCAGCTGCTGCTGCTGCTGCTGCTGCTGCTGCTGCTGCTGCTGCTGCTGCTGCTGCTGCTGTTGCTGCTGCAGCTGCCGGTGCTCGCGTTGATGGGGGTGCTGGAGGCGCCGCCGCCGCCGGCGCTAATGCCGCCGCCGCCGCCGCCGCCGCTCGCGGTCGCCAGGCTGGGGTTGCAGTTGCCGCCGCCGCCGCCGCCGTTGCCCGCGCCGCCGCCGCCGCCGCCGGTGGAGGTGACTGTGGCCGCCGCCGCCGCCGCCGCCGCCGAAGCGATGGGCTCCGGCCGGAACAGAGCTGGCCCTGAGGACGCCGGGGGCCCGACGGACGGGGCCGGAGACGAGGTCGCCGAGGAGGTGGAGGTGGTGGTGCCGGAGGAGGAAGCAGACGTGGAGACCGGGGGTTGAGGGGGGACCAGCGGGGTCGGAGGGATCAAAGCCGCCGGCACCGCCATGGTCACATATAAGGGGAAACCGAAGGAGGAGAAGCGAGGGGAAAAGTTGCCACACACCCCGGCGAGGGGCAGGGGGGGAAAGAGGGCGAAGGAGCGAGGGGGCAACAACAACCACAACAACTCTAGGGGAGAACGAGAAGGAGAAAGGGAGAGAAGGGGGGGAAAGGAGGTGAGGGTAAGAAAGAGCGAGCGCAGGAGGGGCGAGCGCGAGAGGCGCTCTGCGGAGAAACGCACAAAAGTGTCCCGCAAGTCGAAATGCGAGTCCTCTCCGGGGGCTGGGATCGGGGGCTGGTTGGGGGGGGCGGGGGCGGGGAGGGTCGGCTGTTGTTGTGTGGGCCCCGCTCTAGCACAAAGTTAAGGATGAAGGTGAAAAGGAGGAGGTTTGAAGGACTTGGGTTCTCCCTGGCAAGTACATTGATCAAAGATTGAGAGCGGAATGACAGAGAGAAAATGAGCTGAAAAGTGCAGGCTGCCGGCTGGACGAGTTGTTGTTGTCACACGGTGCAGAGGGGAGGAGCTCCGGAAACTTGAAATACCCTTTGAAGCCGCAAAAACCTCACTCACTAGTATTAACCCAAATTATCCAACCAGGAACTCGGAGCAGACACTCCGAGAGCGCGAGACACAGAGGGAAAGCGAGTGAGGGAGGAAAGGGGGGGGGGGGGGGGTAAGGAAGAAACTATGCGAGGGACGGAGAGGAAAAGCCGGGGACACAGAAGTGGCAATCGGAAAAGGAGAGGGAGATGATCTACTTCTCTTCCTCTACTACCGTTAGATTGCATGTCTAATATTCCATTTCGTCCGCGACGACTTGAAATTTTTTTTTTCCCAAAACCTTCTAAGCAATCGCCTGCCAACTTACAGAGGAGCCAGAACGCTCTGAGCTCTCCTTCAAGGATTTAGGATAGATCTCCGCTCGTTTTTGCAATAAGATATAAATGAAAACACATCCCCTCCCTTGATGGTTATTAAATTATTTTCAGGAAGATTCACATGTAAGCAAAGCCTATGTGTTCTGCATCTGATTGTTTTACTCTATTTATTAGATTATTTGTTAGTGTAAAGATAGTGAAAATTCCGGGACAGCTTTCAAATTGTGGGGGGAAAGTCAGTCTGAAGTCACTTAAGAATAATGAAATCCTCTGTATTCAGTTTCTTATTTCCTGATAGAGTGTGGAAAGAAAGAAATGCTTGCCATGATGTGGATCATTCAGAATAACTTCACTTTCACCCCAAAGGCAGGTCAGAAATGCTTATTTTACCTAGAGACTTTAAAGAGATCAGGCATCCTTGAAGATTTAGAAAGTGGAAAATAAGAAAACACTGATTTTTTTTCTTAAACTCTGTAATTAATTCACCTGTCTTGCATAGAAAACAACTATCCTCACATCCTTTAAGACCCAATGCTAATTGCCAGCGTGTCTTATGAATAACACATTTTCTTTCATATTTGAGAAGTTTCAGTGTATTTTGGGGAGGTCCTTTTCAGTTTGTCAGTACAAATGTGTTTTGTAAATAATGAAAAAGAAAACAAGCTCACTAGTTGACTTGTAAAGGCAGAAAGGGTAGCTGTGCTTAAAAATATTAGGCTGAGTTTAGACTGTCTTCCTCTTTGCCCTCCTCTCTCCTTCTTTTCCCTCTCTAACTTGTTGCATGGAGGTATTTTTTCCAAGGATTTTTGACCAACATATGATTTGAGCATAGGTCAAGTTTGTTCTCTGTTTGTATCTCTAGGAATCTTAAATAATTAAGCTTTAATCCTGCCTACACATGTTTATTAACGTCACAAGATAGAAACAATGCTTTAGCTTTGGGCAGATTTAAAAAAAAAAAAACTATTAGCATCAGATTCACAGTGTTGGAAAATTTCATAATGAAATTCTGCCATTTTGGTGCTGAAATGATTATCACATTTCTCTTTGTCATTTTAATTCTCTAAACTTTTTGAAGTTTAGTGTCAAAAGGTACTGGAAATATCTACAGAGAAATATGGCACCACTGACTAATTTGTCTAAGTTGATGCTAAACTTTTTGGGGCAGAGCAGTTATATCAGGAGGCTTTTCTGGGTCATAAGAATTCAGAAAATTGATTGTTGCAAAAAGTAGATAAACTTCTACAAAGATAGCTGAAGTTTACACAGTTGTTTGACCTAGTTAGCCAATGTATTTTAATACACTCAGAAATAATTTATATTACTTTTTCACTCCTCCTATCAGTCCTCCAAAATAGGGATTTGATATATATCACATATATCAAAACACTATATTAAGTGTTTACACGTTTTGGAAAATCTTACCTTTTTTAAAAATGCCAAATTACTATGTTAATGAGTGGACGAGAAGAATATATTGAGCCCTGAAACACTAATTTTATTTTGGAATTGCATGCACAACTTTAATAAACTCTGAGGTAGTTTGAAATGCTAAACTACAGTTTCCTCATTTTAAATTCTAGATCCACAAATGGGAAAAAAAATTGGAATTAAGTGCTAAAAATCTGCCTTTTCCATTCTCATTTCTTACATTTCCTTAAACTGCCACTCAGCCAATACCTGCCATATTCGGAAGCCACAGGCAGGAAGTAATAATAGCTGACCAAGCCATAATCCCACCCAGCTTCGAAGCAAACTCCAAATTTTCTGCAGGGAATCCTGCACCTCCCAGCACATGCTCTGTTCCGGGGTAGGGCTTGGGGCATTTACCTCCACCTGAATGGGAGCTCACTCCCCACCTCAGGTCTCTAAACCGTTTCTGGGAATACCACTTGCCCCTTTGATCAAACAAAGGATTAGAAAAAGCATATAATGCAAATTAAAATATGTTAGGGAAAAAAAAACTCAAATATTTTAAGATTTAAGATTCTTTCTTTCCTTCTTTTCTTTTTCTCTTCTTTCCTTTTTTTTCTTTTTTGAGAAATGTTACCAATGATTAAGGCAAACAGTATTTAACAACAGCAGATAAATCAACTCCTCAGAGATTTCAAATTCTCACTCTTTCCACTGCATCTTTAGCTTTCAAAGCTTTTGTCTTGTTTGTTTATTGTTTTACATCTCTGGCTGTTTCAGGTCCTCTCCCTCCATCTCATCTTTTCCAACCTGCACTCAATTTGCATAAGCAAAACTCAAAGTACTGTAACTGATATTAGAAAATTCTCCCTGTGTTTTGTGAAGACGTATTGTGCTGAAATCAATAAGACTGTTTAAAATTCAAAGACCTGCAAATCGTTCTGTTTGTCCTTTGATAGGGCCTGTGCTGATTAAAATGCTACCAAGAAAGCTTAATTGCTGCACTAATTAAGAAGTCTTTAATTTCTTTCCTAGGATGTCGTTTGAAGCTGAGCTTGTACCAGTTCAGGGAAGGTATTTTCTTCCCTCCCTCTGCCCCCTCCTGGCCCCTCCCCTCTCCTCCCCGCTCCTCCCGTGCCCCCGACGCCATCCCAATGAATGGGAACTAATAGAGAGAGTGGACTCAGGTCTCACCATCTATTACTTAACAAAAATTGACACAGGATACAGAGTTCAGTGCAGTATGAAATGCAGTTTTCAGAAGAGCTGTAAGGTTGCAGGAGACAGTAAGGAAATACAGAGTAGCTGTTGCAGCTAAAGTCCCGGTGAATACCTGGATGACAACAGGCACTTTAGCTGGATGATGAGGGCTTCCTATTTGGTTAAAGGGGGCAGTGACAAGGAAATACTTCTATTAAAACGGAAACATAAAAATGTATTTTCCAAACCTGTGGTTTAAAAAAGAAGAATAAATCTATAGGAAGGAGGATTTATAGTTGGGATTTGGTAAGTATCATTTTATTTTATGAGTATAAAATCATGAATTCTATGGGGATTTATTTTTGACCCTTTTTATAACCCAGGGTGGCATAGCTCTGTATTACATCCTTTCCACCCTTTTCTATTGACCTATTTTATTCACTGATTTCTCAAGTGGGGAAACTGACTAAATGATTTCACAAAGCTTTCTCTGTAATCAATAGTCATTTTTTAGGTTTATTCATGCTGCATTATAATTCTGGTAAATGACTGCAAAGCAGAAGATTGTAAGAGAGATACCAATATTGACAAAGCCAAGATGAAGTCATGTCTTTAAATCTTCAGAGTTTCAGTATAGCAATTGATATAGTTATTTGAAAGAAAAAGATTGAAAATGGATATTTCATGGAATATAAAAAAACAAATGATTGGGTAACTTAAAGACAACACATTATCTGCATGTGTTTCTTGTGTATCTCAAAATTTCCTGAAAGCTTTGAGTATCCTCTTTTTATAGCATCACTAAGTGAAACAGAAACAATTTGGGCATATGCACAAAGGCAACAAGAAAAGGTTCATTACAATTTTATTCTTTTAAGTTTTTCCCAAATTCTATTAGAAGCATGCACAGAAAAAATACAGATATATACTCCAGATATATACTGAATTCCTTTCAGTGACAGGACAAGGAGATAACACGCTTAATAGATTCAAAGGGAGATTTACCATTCCGAGCACGACGTCACTCTAATTATGTTTACTCTAATTGAAAGCAAGGTTTTTTGGAATCTGAAATTACTTCCAGAATTTTTTTTTTAAATAATGCAAGTGGATCAAATGTTGATCACAAGCATTTCAATCTTTCAAAATGTATTGGAAAATTAAATGAAAAGTGGAGTTTGGTACAAACAATGCCCCAGGGCAAAAAACAACTAACACTAGATTTTCCAGTCCAGCCATAACACAAATCAATTTGAGCACACTTCTATGGCCAGACTGCCAGATTGTTATGACTGCTAATTCACTCAATCAAAGAGTGCATTAGCACACCGGCACAAATAGCTTTAACAATAGAGTGCACTTCTGAACAATTCTAAGATATATCACAACGGAGAAGTAAAGAGGAAGATCATTTTTACATCTGCATATTTACTAATGGACCTGTTTCCTTAATAGGAAAAAGAAAAAAAAAAAAAAAAGACTGAGATAAACTTCAGGCAGAGGTTTATTAAAGAGCTATCCAAGTTTGGTAAATCTAGAAAGACATCAGGGTACCAGTAGTTCACTGACTTTGTTAAACGTTTCTCAGGAGAGAGTCCAAAATTGATGTTTGCACTTCAGTAGTAAATCATTGAAGATGGAGAAATTATGCCAAGTAACTCTCTCAAGCCTTTTTAACTTAGACACTCGGCCTCACCAATCAGCTCAGCAGATAAACTTTGACTGCCTTAAGCACAGCCTTCTCTCCTTCCAACTTTCTTCCTCTGCCTTTCCCACTTAGGGTTCCAACTTCTGACTTTTAGTGACTATCACTTCCACAGTCTTCCTCTCTTTTCCAATTCCCTGCCTCGCCTCAAGAACAAGGAATAAGGCTTTTATCTCACGGATACACTCTCTAATCAGGCGCAGAGAGCTCAGTGATAAATTACCCGAAGGACAGAAGGTGGGGAACTGAAGGTGAACACACTATAACTTGAAGCACTCAAACTTTACATTACAAACTTCCGTCCTTAATAAAGAAGTGGTTTAAATGGTTATAAATAACTCTGACCTGTTTAACAGCATGGAAATGCATGGACTGTATATATGCTTACTGAATGCATATAGTAAGTATCTATTCATATTCCTGTTTGCGTAGATCTCAGA